CTCACAGTTTTTCACCTTCCTCCCCCTTTTCTATCGTTACCTGTTGCGTACACGGCAACGTGTCGAACGCGTATTCCGTGCGATGAGCGATATTCAAGTTTAACTTTTGTCCTAATATAACAAAATACGCGTCGGGAGTGTCGGTTAAAATATCGTATGATTATTATAATATCGTTCCGCCGTAATTTCACAGTAATATAAAACGCGGAGTGCCGTTTAAAGTGCCGTGCGATTTTTGTATCAACATCGCGATCGCGTGTGAATACTTTGGAGACCACTGAGAGAAGGAGGAGGCTCAGGAGGAGCATCGAGCACCGGCGGAGCAACTTTACGGTAAATAATAAATCATTTATTTGTTGAAAATATTGTAAATACTCATTATTTTGAATGCAACTATAATCTTGATTTATTTTCGTATTTTATAGATCAACTATGCTGATCAACAGAACGACAACTCTGCTGCTGCGCATCATGTACCGGTGAGTAAAGATCAAATTATCTTTGTTTTAATATCAAAGTAAAAGTATCGAAAGTTTTCTTATAATTAAACTACAATTATTTTATGTGAAAATAATTAAATTTTGTTCAATTAACATCTGTTTAATGTATAATTTGGTATCGGCAGTGTGTTACTTGGTAAATACAAAAGAAACGTACCGACAAGAATATTATCAATAGCTCTTTTTTGTTGTTAACTATCACATATATTATACGTCCATGGTTCACGGATGATCACAAAGGGTTTTTAATCACGTTAAACGTTAAAAAAAATTTGTAAATTTTTTCGTAATTATATTGGAGTTATAACTGATACGAACGCTATAATTTTTTATAATTACATTTTATATCGAAGTACATACATAGCTTTTATAATATGTTCGACTAAATATAATGACATTTATAAATATTAAATAGTATAGATATTTTACTGAAAATTCTAATCCTTTTTAAATAGTCTAAAATGTATATTTGATATATATTATATTATATAGTTAGTTATATTACACGTGAAAAAAAATGCTGCGTGATCATTAAGTATTCTTCAAATAGATAATAAATAAATAATAAATTATATATTATACAATACCTTTATAGTTGCTCTACCGTTGCATGATGCCCCCTTGGCCTCCTCCTCCTCTCAGTTATCCATCGACAGCTGCTCCTTTTTGGAGCACTCACTCGCAAAAATACGGTTAATTAAAATCGCGCGATATTTTGTTATAATGACAAAGGAAAACTACGGAATAACGCGATCGCACGAAGCTACGATTTATTCGACAGAGCAGGCAGAGGAGAGAAACCGAAAAATGCGTTGTTAGCTTTCTGTTCTACCCGTCGCGGCTATGCTACACCTAAACTACTTTCTATGTATTCCGTGGAAGTGAAATAGTATTAATCAGCAAATATTTCCAGAAAATAAATTTTTAATATCTATTGTGATCGCGATTTCAGATGTAATCTGGTAAAAAGAATAATACGGAGTAAATTTTCGAGGCCTGCTCTCTTTAAATGTCGCCGTGCGAATAATAAAAAGATAATTGTATATCGCAGTAATATATATGTATTGTAACGTAGGTCATAAAAACAAAATCATATCACGCGTTAACATATTTCGGTTGTAACTCGTAATGCGGAAGTTTAGTTCTGTTGTTTGCATACGCGCGCCGTTATCTTGCGGACCTCCTAATATTCGTTTTGTTTTTGCGACTTACATTACGATATACATACTCTGTTTACTCCGTAATAATACTTAAAATTTATTCCGTATTATTCTTCTTACCGTATTACATCTGAAATTGTTAGCTTCGTGCGATCGCGTTATGCCGTAGTTTTCCTTTGTCATCCAAAATATCGCGCGATTTTAATTAACCGTATTTTCGCGAGTGAGTGCTCCAAAAAGCAGCAGCCATCGATGGATAACTGAGAGGAGGAAGAGGCCCAGGGAGCATCATACGACGGCGAAGCAACTATAAGATATTGTTTAATAATTTATTATTTATAAATAATCTGCTATTTGTAGAGTATTTATTTTAATGGTCATGCAGTATTTTACATTGCTATATAATATAATAAGTATTAAATATATATTTTGAACTATTTAAAAATAATTAGAATTTCCACAATAAAATATCTGTACTATATATTTAATATTTATAAATGTTAAATATTTTTTACATATTTATAAATTTCAATTTTAATCATTGCTTTAATTTGAATATTATTTTGTATTTTATAGATCAACATGAACTACAACTCCGCTGTTGCGCATCATGTATCGGTGAGTAAAGATCAAATTATCTTTATTTTAATGTCAAAGTAACGAAAGTATCGAAATTTTTCTACAATTAAACTAAAATTATTTGATCTGATTAGCCTATGAAAATTATTCAGGAAATTAACTGAGTAATTACATGTTAAATGAAGGATATTTTAATAACTGTGTAGTAAAAAATTCTCAAAAAATTTGAAATAATGCTTTCTAACATTGCATATATTTATTTCTTAAAGTTTCAAATAAATCTCGAATAATTGAGAAATTGTTGGAACTACATACCTTAAAATGGATAATCCATGATAAATTAATTGATACTCGACTCTGAAATTCATGCAATTATTTATCACGCTTTATTATATAACGAAGATGCAGAGCTTATAAAATACTACATTACTACATTACTACTTTCTTTATTTTGTTATTTCATTACATTACAAAATGTTTACTATCAAATTGTCTGAAAATTTTTAAATAAATTTTTATTCGAAAATTCGTCTATCCGTCCATTGAATAATTTTATTTAATATACAGTAAAATATTGTGTAATTACTAAATATTCCGTCGCAAAAGAAACTTTTACTTTTACTCAATATAGCGAATTCCTCAAACACTTAAATAAAGGGAAATAATAATATTAAACAAAAGAGATCTGTAAGCTTTTCACGAAAAAGCAGTCAGAATGTATCGCTTTCAAGGGAGATATTTTTCTCTCTAATAAAATCTAATATTTTTAAATATTTAATTGCCAACAATAAATTTTATTTGCTTATCGTGAGAGTTGGCATATACGTGTGCTGGTATGGCACAAGTCGGTATACTTATCGAGATCAAACTGAATTTACTGATGATGGTACAGAGTACAATGTACCATCATATAAGCTTCTATCTATTATTCTCTTTTCAAAAACGATACCAAAATTTTTTTAGAGAATGTAACAATAATATAATTATCAATGTTAATGACTTTGATAATAATCTAATTTTGTTCAGTTAACATCTGTTTAATATGTAATTTGGTATCGGCAGAGTTTTACTTGGTAAATATGAAAGAGACGTACCGACAAGAATATTATCAATAGCTCTTTTTTGTTATTAACTATCATATATATTATACGTATATTGAGTAGTTTAAAGAATCGCATATAAATAAATAAAATTAAAAATTAACTTTTTATAATTAAATTTTTATCTATCTTTATATCATTATTAATTAGGTTTATACATATAAAAATTCTCAAAAAAAAAAGAGAATTGTTAAAAATGATAGTCATTTGACTTCGTCGTATTTAAAGATCTTTATTTCAACAGTAACAAAGTAGCACATTTTTTTTACATCCGTTACTGTTGAGATGCAGATATTTAAAAAAAAACTGACAAGTCTTTATCTTATCTATCACTAAATGTACATGTAATTTTCGCAATTACCATCTTCGATTTGTACGATAAGATTCTCTTGATTTGGGCACAGGTATAAGAAAATAATCATTTCACTTGAGTCTTTTAAATACCATTGTATTTCTCTTTGCCGCGGCGAATGTGTGTACAGAAAATTACTATGCGAATTATCTAAGCGAGGATTCGTAGTTATCACGTTTTGTACAATATATATAATGGTACAATAATGATGATAATAATAATAAGAATAATAATAATTAATTTATCGACAATGATGACTGGCGAAAGAATGATAATGATGATGCTTTAATGAACAATGACGAATGATGATCGATGATGGTAATTAATATTAAACGCCTGAAGTTTTTTTCTCGCACGCGCACGTATACGCTCTTTTTCTGTCTGTCTCTCTGTCTCTCCTTTACTAGTTCCACCTCTTTGGCTTGTGTACATTTTTGTGACTCTGTTCGTATATAATATAAATAATTAATGTTACTATTATTACTAGTCAGTGTGTGTTCACGCTGTCTCTCTTACGAGTCTTTGGATTTGATCGTTATCAGACATCTCGGAGTCTCGTTACAGAACAGAAATCGCGCGGCCACTGCTCGCTCAAACGCATTTACATAAAATTGGTCTGGGTTTTACATTTAATCGTATCTGTCGTTCGAACGCAAACTTCTGCTGATTAATTAAACAACTAATTAACTGATTTTGCATTTACATATATTCGCATTCTTAATTCGGATAATTTCACGATCGATTACAATGGTTGTATTTCTCAATTATTACATAAAGTCGCAAGCAGAAAATTGATAAACCGATGATAATTTATTCGTAAACACAATGTCTCTGCTGAACGGTAACTATGTTTTCTGTTCGTAATAATCGCTGTTTGTTTCACGGGATTAATTAGAAAGTTTTGCTCTCGTAGAATATTAAAGAGAAAATTCAGATTCATACGACGTGAGTGAACGCGCTTCCCACTTCTATTTCACACACGAAATTGTTTTCCGACTTCCATATTCTCTATTTCACAGATTCTCACAGACGCACATTCGACTCTTGGCAACATGTATTTAAACAACAACATATTTCAATTCAATTATACGCTGAGTTAATTTCAAACATTTTGTTGAAATTTGCTCAAAATGTTAACACCATTGTTTTTCGATAGTTAAATTGTTCCTTGAATACTACAAATGTAAATTAATATTGTATATACTTTGAAAAAAATACCATTCATTAATTAGATCAGAAATAATAAACAGTAAAAAAAAGTTTATGCTTCGAAAAAATAAAAGTAATCTTTATGAATGAATTCTTTAAATTAAAAAAAAAAAACTGAATAAATTGGCGTCAGAAAAAAATTAAACATATGTAACACATAACGTGTAACATATAGATCATCACTCTATTACCGAGGAAATTTAATTTTTCGCATGGGTTCACAAATTAATATAAGTTTAAATACTAATAATATGGTTGCGGGTTAATGGCGAAATTTCAGAAAATATCCCAGGCGAACGGCGGTCTCGCCGAAATTGTCGGCCGTCGCAGGTGTTGCCGGGGTCGCAGGTGCGTCTGTGATGCGGCGGCGCGCCTTTGCTGTATTAAGCGGGCTAATTAAAAACAAGACGAAATGACGAACGAACAGACTGGGAGGCTCCTTCGCGCGCGCGCTCAGTTCTCTCCACTTTCACCAATAAATAATACTCAATGACAGTGACACGCACAATATAAAAATTAACGGCTCGCGTTTTTTTTTTCAGCCGATCGCTTAATCACTCGATCGAAGATCGCACAGTCAGAGAACTAAAAATTGTACGGGATAAAACGCGCGCTGCTTTCCGCTGGACCATTATGTATCGCTTTTTGTTACCGGCGCAGAACATATAATAGAATATAATATTAAAATACGGTAACATACGCTCTCGACGCACTTTCGGCCGAACATAGTTTTTTTTACGTAGCTTGTGCGACCTTTTTTCACATTAATTAAATAATAACAACATATATGTATATATACTTGTATATAATATATAATATACATACTATATACAAGAGAATAATAAATTAATTGAACACTAATGACCGTGGTCGTCGATGCGTTAAAAAAAAATAGATTGCAAATATTAAATTATTATACATCGCGATCATTTCGATTCGCGGACATCGATACATAACAGATGAGCATCCTCGCTTCAAATGCCCGGATCGTGATAAGCTCAATATATAATATTTAACTTATTGGCGAAACTATACTGTGAAAAAGTGGTCGGCAAATAGAAGTTTGCCTGCGGAATAGTTTCATATTTCAAGTTATAGAGAACACATGTACGGTGATATGTTTTTCTCGATGACTTCGAAAGATAAATGTTACGTAAAAAAAATATAGTTGGCAGTAATATATGCATTTTGTCTTGGCGTAGTTGAGAAATTAATTAAATTAAGGACGATTCGATAAATTCAATAGGGAACAATAAGCCAATAAGTTAACACTTGTGCTATCGCAGACTTCACGATCCTCGATCGTTCGATCGCTACGAATAAACATAATAGTACGTACTCGCGCATAACTCTTTGATTTAAATATATTACGCACACACAATATACACATACGCATACATACGCAATCCTCACACACATTCGAATACACCACCCCCTGATCTTTATATAAATAAAAAAAAAGAGAAGAAAAAATATAGTGCCTAAGCTCAAGCTTTCGCGAATCGAGTGCCAGCGGTGTAAATTAAAGTCCCGGATAGTTTCGAGCGAAGCATAGTTTCCCCGGTGTTGTTCTCTTATTTGTTTCGCTCATTGGACACTCGGACCGGAAATCCGATGACGCTTTTGATAGGGTGAGAAATACACGCGCCAGTAAGAAAATTCGATTCCGACGTAACTTTGACGGTTGCTGTTAAGTTCGTGATGAGAGCGGGAAAAGAGCGAGCTCTGGCGAACTCGAGGAAAAAATTCGACGGGAATTTATCTTGCCCAGCGTAATGTCGATATAGCGTAATTCCGACCCACGTTGCTGGATATATACAATCAAAGTATAATTTTGATATTTAGCTACATATTTCGCGGGTTGTTTGTCCACGAGGGATTTAGAACGACGTATAATTTATACGCATGTTCGAGTTACCAGGCGTATGTAAATAATTATGCGTCGCGCGCGCTCTTTGGCATCGTCATTTAACCCGACAGTGGATTAATAAAATGGAAATCATACGTCATAAATGTTGTATGAAGTTCCTAAATTATGCATTTCTCCGTTGGTACGTTAATAGCCGGCGGATCGACACCTGTTCGATTTTCCCGGGGAAAAGCGGCTCTTTTTGACCAGGGTTGGATCTCGCCAATGCATAAATTACTGTTAACAACGACGGTAATTAATGGAAGCTCAAATCGATCGGTCGTTATGAAAGCTTCGGACTATTTCAAAAGAACTCAAATCGTTGCCGCATTTATGAGACAAATCGAATTAAACATTTAACAAGGCATCGGCGTACGGTACGAAAATCACGTTCAATTTATCGATGTAAACTAAATAATTTGCAATTACATTGCAACAGCGTTTGATAATTTATATTTCAGGAACAACATTTGCCGACAAATTACGCGTTTGAAAAATAAAAACTTTAATTCACTTCGCGTGATTCGCCCGACGAGCTAATCAGGCTTATTCCTGCGTATTAACGTATGAAAAACATAATTCAATTTCAAATTAATCTCTCATCTAAATTAATTTCACCCTTCTTTCATTTATTACATATTTCGCAAGAGTGTCGCGTGATCGAGCTCGTAAAATCAACGAAAGATCTCGGTTCGCCCGTAAGTGAAAAGAGCATATTTCCCCCGCTATCTGATTGCAATTAGAAACACTCGCGGACCCGATAAGCGCTCGCTCGCGTTTGCGATCTCTTCGGGCATAATTGCTGCGTCTAGAACCGTGCGCGCGATACAACAGCCGCTATTATTAAGAGAGCGTCACTTTTGCTCCCCTTTTGCATTCTTCCGCGTTTGCGCCAAGTACACATTCACCGGCTGACACAGCCAGCCGAGCCAGTCGTTCGAAACCTCTCTCCTTCGTCTACTCGACTCTTTTGAGCAACCACCTTTTGGACGCTCTTCAGCGTCCTCTTCTCGCTCTCTCAGTGTTCTCGAACCCTTAAACCTCCTAAGATCTCTCCTCAGCTGCCTCCTTTTCCCGCTCTCCCACCTTTTCTCGTGCCACCTCGCCCTCAGCGTCACCGGGGGGGTCTCGACCTTCTTTCGCCTTAAAGCGAGTTACATAGCCGTCGGTACCTTAAGTTAGGATCTGGCGTTAGCTGCCTTCGCGGGTACTAATTGACTAGCATCGTTAATTACTCTCGTTTGATCTCTCGCCCGCGCTCGATTCGCCGCTCTTCTCTCTCCGAGGACTACTTTTCCTCCACCCTATTCAGATCGTGCTACATGCCAGCACTGAAAATTACTTTTTTCCTTGATGCCAGAAAAATACGACAGCAATATTAACAATAATAATAATAAAAATAATAATAATATATTACTGTTTCATACTAAATCTTACGTATTATTTGGTATCGTATATTAACGCCATTAGTAACGTTATGGTATCGCGGTATGCGATGTAAGTAATACATTAATTTGATTCCCGTCGAAACGAGGAAGAATTCACCGGGCAGAATTTCGAGTCTTCCTCCTGAACGTTACGTACTATTCTAAATCGCATACGTGGGAAAATAATTTTCCGTCGTCGACCCGTTGACGATTTTTCGCGTATTACATCCCGTGGCACTCGCGCGGGTTTTCCCGGCGTCAAGAAAAACGCCGAAAAAGTTCCAGATTGAACTTTCGTTTCGTACACATGAAATCAGCGGGCGACAGCTGGTTCTCTTCTTACGAAAAATAAATATAGGATCTCGGGGGAATATATTTGCGCTCGCCATCGCTAGGAATGCGACGGTAATCGCTAATTAATTGTTATACAAGAACACACATACGAAGTGAAACGCGCCACGGACGCGTTCGCCGTTCCGTTATTTCGCGAGAGGCGCAGCGACGAAAAACGAGGCATTTACGTTGAACGGAATTTACGTCACGCGAAATTGCGTTAACGGCAGACTTGAGGAAACGAAAGGCGCATTTCGCGCTAAGTCGTATTACAAAATAGGCAGTGCGTCAGGCTATCTCGACAATCGAACAACCTACACAGCTAAACACTAGAGAGACACGTACCGCGACTATCCAAACTGCTACACAGACTTTGGCTCGTATTTGCAACTTTGTTCAGCGTTTAGCTTGCGATTTTGAACTTTGTCAAAATCACCGCGCATTCAACGCTAAATGAGTCGTTGGGCAAAGTTAAATTTTCGATATTTTGAGAAACAAATATAAATTTCGAATGAACTTTAATTACTAGTATTCTAATTCTTATAATTTTATAAAGAAAAGGAAATTTTTTCTTACATCGTGAAAAGTCATCAATTTAAACCGAATTATCTGAAGCGGCTTAAACGCGCCTATGTAAATGTGCAGTAAATTTAACATGAACAGTTTATGGATAAATAAATATCCTCTCGGTGGAAATGAAATAGCAATGGTTAAATGCGCGGTGAAAATACCCGTCTAGACGGCCCCCATTGAATAAGCCGCAACGGGCGCTAAACGTGCCAGCTGGGGATACAAGCCATCGATGGTGGAGTTATCGTTTGGGTCGCACGTCACGCGGCCGGTAATCGCTCGATCCGATTCCGAAGACACGATATGATACGATGATAAATTAAAGGTGAGGAACATATGTCGCGTGTGACTATGTACACTAAGCGTGCTCTCCCGAGAATGTGCGGCTCCTCTCTTCCCTCTTAAATACAATATGTATATTTGTATATGTGTGTATATACTTACGAGACAACGACGCGAAACGACTAGACTGTGACCCGACTCGAACTCTCTTCCTTCTCTCCTCTCTTCCTTCTTTTTTTTCTTCTTTGCTCTGTCTCGCGCCTCCTTTTCCTCCTCCTCACTCGCGTCAAACGCTCCCACACACCACACACGCACACACACACATACATACATAAACACATTCAGCGAGTCCCTACATTATATACAGATATTTACAGTGGTATACAATTAATGCGCGTTAATGATCGCGCGCGCGAGCAGATACGCCGTCGGGGGGATTCTGCGAGGACATTAACGAGCAACCGTTGGTCGAAAGCGCGGATTGTGACCAAAAACCGACCAACTTGTCGGACAATTGTTGTTTTAGCGTAGGCTCGATCGCCGTTGCATTACGCGTTATTACATCTATCAGGTGGAAAGCTTGCGAGCTCTCGCGAAAATCACAACCGCGTGAACAGCAGTGTGCGCCGAAACGTTCGAAGCACGAGTGCCGTTTATATACACGATTGACGGTCCAATGTTTATTCAGAAATATTATCCTTTTGCAATATATTAAATAGTATCTCTTTACAATGACGCGGCATTCGTTTCGACGACATTGCACGTCGGTTTTGATTTTCGCGGAGTTGGAGAAGTTTTTTTTTTTAAACCTTTTGCGGGAAACCCGTCGCGCCGGTTCCTCAAGGATTTATAACGATGACGTGGGAAAAATGCAACGGCTATTTGGATGAGCTTTATGACTCGATGAATTCGCACTCCTATAGTGATCGATCTGCAGTACGCGGTAATATATACGAATATTCGAATACACAGTGGCGAATCTTCGTTGTGATCTTTGTTTTCCTTTCTCTCCTTCAATCTACTCATTCTCGCGAATGCATTAACGAAGATACAATACGTAAACTTGACAAAGTGTACAATTGCGAAACGTCTATAGAAAGCGTCGAACTATGATTACAAAAGTTTGAGAAGCAGACTTTTTCAGTACGGAATAAATTTACTTCGTTGCAACTTGAAACATTTCCGCAACAAAACGAGTCTTAGCGGACGTAACAGTGTAAAAAAAATAATTATTATTATTTTACACAGTTCATAAATAATACTTACATCGTTTTCTACGAACACTTCGCAATTATTCGCACGATTCAAATAGCGATATTCTGCGCACTACTGCCGAATTAGTAGATTAATTAGAAGCTCTATGTCTTTCTTCCATACAATTTTTTCGCCGTCTCGTACCTGATCATTCATTGCGTTTGAAAAAAATCTCCCTCTGGGAGGAGCTTTTCATCATCGCATTCCGCTCTCGTGCGTTTCCATCCACGTCCACGAATTTGTCTCGCGTGCGTCGAGTGTTTTGAGAAGGGCTTCGAAGGTTTACCAATTTTCTCGACTGCCCCGCGGTTTTTGTCGTCTCCGCAGTTCTCCGCGGCGATCATTTGTACGATGTTTCATCGACCGCGGAGGATCCATTAAGTCCCAAGATCCATCCTCCCGCTTCTCTCTTTGCTTCTTCTTTGTTGCTTCTTTATTTCGTTGTTGTGCAATCTTTTCCTGTCCCTTCCTCCTCTTCTCGTCACCGAGCAAAGAAATTTCTTCAGCGACGCGACAAAAGATAGCGAGCGTCATCCACACAGTCGAGTATGATTCTTTGGTTTTTCCGAGGACGACAGGCGGCCGGCATTACGCGGAAATAAACGAACGACGAAAGTCACGAGGGAAAACTCGTCTCCTTCCCCGTATCTTTCCTCCGCATCTTGTCCGGATAGAAATGCGTTGTTCTCGCTCAAGAATTTCGTCCTTTCCGAACGACCGACCAGCTCGATTCTTTGGTTTTTCTTTAAAGACGCAGAAGAGTGAGATGACCGGACGACTAGACTCGCGATAACGCGACACTCTCTTCTTCTTCCAGGAAACCGACGAAGAAGATTATTTTCCATATTTCTCACGCGTGTCGCTGCAACGTTCTTCTCAACGACACGCGAAGATGTTTTAATCGCGGCAGATAGCTCGAGATATCGATCTCGTAACAATGACGCTCCCTTGCTCCGTTCATGGCGGGAGAGCACGAGCCGGCAATTTCTCATGATTATGCGTTCTTAAAATCGCCCGCATTCCGCCTTAATGAAGTAGCCCGACGATGTGTTTAAGAAGCTTCCGCGGGATTACGGAGCGGACGTTGTTTCGTCCGCGGAGACATTCATTCGATGCTCCTCTCCCCTCGCGTCTTCCTTCTTCTTTCCGGCGATGCGCCGATCATCTTTTAATCGCTATCGCCCCGTGTGGAATTTTCTTACCTCTTAATGTTTAATCAGTAGCAGATTAATGTTTCTTCGCTCGCTTCTCGCTTCCTTCCGACGTGCGCTCGGTTGCTTCTCTCGACTATCGCGCGCGAACAGGCCGACTTGGAAGAAAATATATATGCTACGAAACTATTATGCGATCCCTTTCGCGCGGAGAGCGATCGAAGTTATGTTCCTCGGTGCGACGAATGACGGCCGACGACCTCGTCGCATGTCTCTGATTCTCTTCTCCGTCGCGTATTCCTTGCTTTCGGTGTCTCGGGAATGATCTGACTCTCGGTTCAGCGCGTTGTCGAGGATCCGCAGTATTTGACAATCCCTCTCAACATTGCACGAAGACACCGATCCCCCCCGCTTCTTCCTCCGTCTCTTTTTCTTCCTTTTCTTTTTCCACGGACAATCAGCTTCGCGTTACGTGTGCCTCGGCTGGCCGTACGCGAAGCTGACCTGGCGTCATGGATAGTCCGGATGCATCACATTGTACATGATCGCGAATATCGTGCAGGCGGCGTAGACACCGAGGGCGACCCACCAGAGTAGTTGCTCGTGTAACCGCTGCTCGAAGTTCTTCAGCACCAAGAGGCCGATCGTTAGGCCCGCCAGAGCGCCCGTCAGATGGGCGACGTACGACACTGGCGGGCCCATCTGCTCTGCCGCGTACCTGTCGTAAATCGCGAAACCCACGTCGGCGCTGGCTGTAATCAGAAAGATAAAGTTTTCGATGAACAATTTTTCAGAACTCAGAGTTGTTACGCGCGATTTCGACTCTCTTATCTTCCCACGCGTTTCGATTGATCGACAAACGCTTAATTTAATCATCGCAGCTTATGGTTTATCTGTTATTTTAACGGAAAACACTCGTGTATTTTTAATCATCCTATTTATCGGGTTTTAGATTGAAATTAGCCCACTTCTATCTATATTCTCTATAATATTCTCTACGGTATAAAATCCGCTGGTAAATTCAGCTAGCAAGCGCCAACAGATTGATATATTAATTTAAAATGACGCGGGTCAACAAGGAAAGGAAGGAAATAATAATGCTCTTATCGCAGCGTGTTCTCTCTTAAAGAGAGATATAAGACTCTCCGTCCTGCAAGGCACCGACCGATGGAACTGGTGCATAGGAAAGCAATAAGGAAAGCGCAAGATGAACAAGAAGGGAAGCAACAAAGCGAAAGAGAGCGGGAAAAAGTAAGGACGCTGCGAAAAGCCGAGCCGCCGGCTATTTGGTGAAAAGCTCTCGAAGTGTCGTCGAGAGAAGAGCTTTCCCGCAGCTTCCTCAGCAGCTTTTTTCTACGTCTGCGACCACTGTTGATGACTGCATAAGTCCAGTGTGTTCCCGTAAGAAATTCGCTTCTTCGTTTGTCAATGTAGAAATGAGCTTTGCGCAAACGGATCAACTCTCGTCTTTCAGACGCTATTAAGGATTTCTTCATCCTCAGTAACTTTTTATATTTCCCCTACAACGGAGTTTTTTGATCTTCTTAATAGATGGATATTATTACATTTCTCATAAGCGTTATGACTAATTCAAAAGATCGGACTTTTCTCGGAAGCTTCCACTTTAATCAGTATAAAATATCGCGTCAGCATTAAAATCTTTACAACTGCGCAGGAAATCAAATTGCAAAACTGTATTTAATTGATAGCAATTTTCTAATTAATATTCATCGAAATTAAAATAACTTGAAATCGAAAATAAGATTTTATTATGCGTTTACAAAAAGAAATATTGGTTCCTGCCATTAAACGAACAATTCTGCGATTGAGTTTCAATTTTTCGCCAACGCGGAATCAATTCCGATCGCATCAGCTATTTCTAATGCTGGAGAAATGTACGAATTTTGATACTGTTTTCTACGTTCTGTATATTGTTTTCTTTCCGTTCTCAAACATTGTTACCGTTTAACTTGGATAGCGAAGCTGAGTTACATAACTCTTGAAGCAACAAAAGAGCCCGGGCCCCTTACCGACCTTTTCCGTCTATCCGCTCTCCTAACTTTATTTTCCCGACTGCAATCAGCATCCATGAGTTTTATATAATATTCCATTGCCGTATCTTTTTCGTCGTAAGCGATGTTCCATCATTTCTGCGCCGATATTCTACGCTGTCATCCGTTCCGTTTATAATCCGATTTTGATGGAATTACCAGATAAAAGCTTAGCTATATAATATTGGATTATATTATTATATCTGAAGAGCGCTTTTAGAGATTTGCGAATCTCATCCATTTCATTATTAAAATTTATTATTAACTAGCAATGTACGATATTTATTCCGCTTTGTTTAACAATTGCACGTTAATTATTACGTTAATCATTACGCTAATTTCTTCATGTGTCAGTCAGTAAACGTTCGTTTCTTTATGTCTTTAATATAATACAAAATTAAAAATTTCTCGTCATACAAAAAAATTTACTTAATTTCCTCATATTTTCTCGTTTCTCTATTCTTTTCGTTTTCTTAGAGACAAGATAAACTCCGGGCCGCTATTGTTCCATAATCTTTGAGAATTGCGTCCTTTTTTAATATCAATCAGGTTTATTCAGGTGCGATCTTGATGACTCAATAAACACGGTCAATGATATTCTTCTCGCTTGAAAATTTGACGGAAAAGCCACCTGTTCTTCTCGCGGCAAACAATCCCAACGTTGGCGAAAATTCTCCTCAGTGGTGATGGCGCGGAAGCACCTATCTTTTAATTAAAACTTCAGAATAGCGACGGCTTTTGTCGCTCCCCTTCCTCCCGCGTTTCTTGCCTCTTACGGGGCAGAAAAAAAGGAGGAAATTGAAGTTTCAGAAGTATCGAAATGAAACGCAGGAGAAAATCGAGTTACTGGGTCACAATGAACGAAAATAAAAGCAGAAGCGAAAAAATAATGAAGCGCATGCTATTGTTCAGCGGAATGAGAATGTTTTAATTGACAATATATGTTATATTTGTTATCGATTCCGCGGGATTAAATATAAAATGTATAATAATTAATAACCCTTCAAGCTCGTCAATTAAAATAAAACTGTCAAAATTCGAAAATACTTCTGAAACGCGAAAATTCGAATCAAATTCCTTTCATCGCAAAGTACTGGCGCTTGACAGTAGCATATTTTCTACGGCGTCTCAAGGCGTTATGGGAGGCGGAAGACACTTCGCCACGTCGCAGACTCCTGCGAGAGAGCGTCATTTGCATTCGCGGCTACACGGATGACCCGCTTCCATGTCGTGAGAGAACGCGTTTATCGATCAAGCTCTGTTCCGCTCGTCAAGCTCTCGTGCGGGGATTGTGATGTAATCCAAGTCGAAGCGCGTAGATCGGCTAGGAGCAGCCCGGGCTGTTACCACCCGTGGACAGAAACTATGCGAATATATATTGGGAAACGGCGGGGGTTACGGAGAGGGAGGGAAAAGCAATGGCGGATATCCGAATCCGCGCTGACGGTAATCAACCCCTTAAACAAGGTTATTGAAGACTCGAGAGGCTCCGTCGGGGTGAATTTGAGGCGACTCTAGGGCCACTAGAACCGGATAATGCGCACGTACAGTAGCGGTCAGATTACGTGCTATACGGGCCTTCGATACTAGAGTTCTACGTCTTTGCCAATATCGCGCTATTATTACACCACGCCGCCATAGGCGTCGAATTCTGAGATTGTATTCTGTCCTCAGATCCGCGGCACTCCGCTTTAATCTTTGAGGACGTGCCTGTGAATTTGCGACGATCCTCCAAAAGTTCTCATACGAAGAAGTTAACAAAAGGATACAGATATCATTCAAAAACTATTTTTCTGCTTTTTTTAGATCTTCTGTAATGAGAATTGATCCTTCTTTTGTACTTTATGCATCGTAAAAAATTAGTTGTATCAGCTTTAGAAATTTCTCTGTTGTAATCGTGTTATTCAAAACATGTTATTCGCGATATTTCCTGTATTCTTCATTCGCGATATTTAATTCATGCTCGGCACATCTTTCTGTTACGTTTCATTTTTATAAAATTATAAAGCGTGATTATTGCACGCCATCGTCGGCGCCAATGGTCAATCGCGACCGTTCTCGAAAGCAACTTGGTCGGAGATATCGAGCAGGGCACAGGGCGAGGGTAGATAGGATTGGCCGCGGTGGTTGCGAGCCGATCGAGGAAGTAGGGTCCACTTACCAATGACGAAGATGCCGATGAGCCGAACTATCCCAAACTCCATATTGTTATAGTTGAGAAGGACGTTGGCTAGATGCGCCGCCAGAAGGGCATAGACACCCCCGCTTGCACCGACAAGGTACACGTCCGTGTCGAATACCGACGTGCCCAGCGAACCTGAAAACACAATAAACACGATTTCTCAATAGCTGCTTAAATATTCCGTATGTGTCGGTTTTCTTTCGGATCATTAACTTCATCGGTACTATCATTTTTCGCAACGGAAGTAATAACACGATTAATTTAGAACCTAACGATTAGTGTATCGTTATTCTAATTTAATGTATTAATTAATGATTCGAAAGAAGCATTTAAAAATCATAAATTACAGTTGTATTTCTATAATTAGATAACTTTTTTTTTTAAATTATTAATCAAGTTGATATTTTTTTATGAAATATAACAGCGAAGAATGCATATCAGTTTTATTTTGGTAAATTGAAAGAATGGAAGAAGTAAAAATTATATTTTCGCTCACTTATATTTCTATTTCGGTCAAACTCTCAATTCCTGGACATACGGAATTATGTAATCAAGGAAATTTTTCAAAGAGAGCTACGGCCGTTCTCACGAAGCGAGTTTTCCGTTGAGTGAGTTTCGGCCACTGTATGTCGGGGAAATTCTCGTTCTCGAACAACCACGAAGTGCGGGCGGAATTTTCCGCTCTCGCCGCCCTCGGCGAATAAAATAAGAATAATATTCGCTCAACAACTCGAAAGTTCGCACAGTCCCGCGCTCCAGTTTAACGGCGCCAAAAATCTCTCTCTTTCTCTCTCTCTTTCTATCCTTTTCTGTCCTTATCCGTGCTCCTCCTCTGGTTCGCTCGCGAACATCTGTTGCTCTACGTGTAATGTGGAAAATGTTCGTCGGAAAATGAGTGTACAGCATAGAAATTAGAATACCTGTGTATAAAATGTTTCTTCTATAAGTTTCTCTGCGAGCTTTTTTTTAATATAACTTTAATATAATTTAGTAGAACTTTAATCAAGAAATTTTGCAATATTTCAGATACTACGAAAGTTTAATGCAGAAAATACAGTCAAATACTGTTAAGAATTTGTATGTCGTCTAATTAATATATTAATCAAATACTATATCGTATACAAACTATATTAATAATATAGGAACAAATCGACTGAATATACATATAGAGAATTAAGGAAATTAAATTTTCTTTGAACGTATGATTGCCGGAGAGTATCTATTTATCAGGCTTCAACTCATTGAGCTGGCATTCTATTCTGTACTTATGTCCACAGTACTTATATTTATGGACGCGTGTCGCCGCAATGCTCTCGCCGATTCGCGAACGTCGGCAGCACAAAGCGCTTCCGGGCATTAGCTAGTCCCGGTTATTAGAAGCGGAATTAGGGGCTTGTCTCCGAGTACCTGCTCCGTAATTTGACAGACTGCCCACGGCACATGGATGCAGGAGATGCGCTTGCTGCAACGCGTCCGAAACGCGTGCCAGCGAGAATTGATCGATACGCACGTGACGTGGTATTAGAAATTAAAATGAGCAATCTGACAGATGTTATTTCTGAATGTACGCTTACATACGTTACACGAGAAAATATAATTTTCTTGTCGCGCAAGCTTTGATCAAAACTAAGATACAGAGTTTCTCACGCAGTAATATTGATGTCAAACATATCGCGCGTGAAAACATCAAATAATGTCGCGTACTAATTACACGGCCGACCGACAATAGAAGACAATTTGATGCGTGATAGCATCGCGATAATAACCGACGCGTTCGACAAACTCCGCAATTCGCATGTTTCACTCGCGCAACCAGCACCGTTGTAGCACCAGGCGTGCAACGAGCGTGTAGTGCCCGCGTGCACAATTTCAACGCCGGGAGCAACGGTAATGTATCAGACACATGATCGCGCTAGTTAAACATTAATATCGCGCTGGGCAGGCAGGATGGTACTTAAAGATTAAAGGATTATTAAAAAGACATTCACAAATGTCTCATGAAATTCTTATTTCAGTCTTTTGATCAGGCTTTAAAAATATGAGGAATAAAACCTTATTATACTTTAAATGTGACGGGATAAATTTTATCTCAAAATGGAATAAATTTTAATGAAAAATGAACATAAAATACACATTAACATACAATACAATATTAAGTTGCACAAAATCAATTTTGCAACGAAAAAGATTTTAGAATTTTGTTTCATATAATTTTCAAAAAATTTACTTTACTAAATACAGAATCTTTCTCACATATCGATTTTTTTCAGAATGACGATCTTTGGAATGATTTTGAAATCTTTTTCTGCTATATACAATATTGATCTTGCTACAACAATCTTTTCAACCTTACAATAAACCAACTGTATAATGATTTAGAATTACACAATTAAAATTAGCAATAAATTATAGTATAGCTTAATAATAATATTATTTCTCATAAACCTGTTTTGAACGTTGTTATAATGTAAATGTATTTATATTTTACAGATAAACCTTCGCGCTTCAAATCGTCATATTCGTTCCACCGTAATTTCGTAATATAATAAAACGTGTGTCGGGAGTGCGCTATACGGAGATAGCGTGATAGTTTCACGCGAGTACAAAACGCCGTATTTTAGCGAATCTATAGATGAACGCATTTTTGCTGTATGACAAATATTGGGACACGATTTTTTTTTACTTTGGGCTTGGCTCGGGGGAGGGAAAGGTCGGTTTCAATCATAAAATCTCGACTACGGCAGGGCAATCTTCGGTTCTACGTGCAGCGCTCTAGTTGTACAGATAGCCGGACTGTCAAAGGTAGTCGAGGACGGCTACCGGAGTTAGTCAAACGCTACCGATTGCTTTTCAGATGTCTTGTATCTAGTCGGTTGATTGCATGACTAATCGCACCTCATCTTCTTCGAGCTTACCTTTGCCCTCTGTTTTGAGAGAATCGTGCCCCAATTGATAAATGTGGTCGTCTGAAACGCGGACGAAATTCGCGCGTAACGTCGCAGCTTGGACAGTTCGGTTCGATTCGCCTGCGATGTCGGGAGTGTCGTTTTAAGTATCGCGCGATTTTCGTATTCAGGTACGCATGCGAGCAATGCATGCGCCGCGAACACGTGTGATTCAGTGTAAGTGCTTCAAAGGACCACTGAGAGGAGGAGGAGGTTCAGGAGGAGCATCGGGCGCCGGCGGAGCAACTTTACGGTAAATAATAATGCATGTATACGTTGAAAATATTGTACATTAAAATATTTGAAAGACAAAATATTTACATTAGTTAATATTTATCAT